CTCTTAGTGTCCCTGGCCCACCCTCCAATCACGAGGGTCCTCTTCTCATCTTCAGACAGCTGATCTCCAGCCCTGTCAGAACTCGCCGCTGGACCTTCACGGGTAAGGTCGTCCCGAATGCCTTTGCCTTTGAGGTATGTTGCCCACGGGTCAGATCCAGAAGGTTCATGAGACAATCCGTCACCCCCACTCTTCTGTGCAGGTAAGCCGTCCGAGGTTGGCCTGGATTGAAGATCTCCGATCTGAACTTTCATGTTCTGTACTTCAGCGGTCAATGCATCTAATTGTTTGGCATGTTGATCTGATGAGCGTTGCAACTGAACATTGGACTTTTCAACAGCTGCCGTACGGGTGCGTAAGTTGATCATCTCATGTCCTTGTTGAACTTGTTGGCTTTCAACATGATCAAGTCGCCCTTGGAATGACCTCCACGCATCTTTCATCTCAGAGACATGACTGAAAAGAAGATCTCGGATCTCTTTGCTGCTTAGAGGTGCATCACCTCCATGCTGAGGCCGCTTACTTGGACTGTCAAGTTCAGAATCATAGTCATCCCCGTCAGGTACACCCACAACAGTTGCTGCATCAGGAGCTCGTTGACGACGTTGACGAACAGGTCGCTTCCTTTTCTCTTGTTTCACATCAAGATCCATGTCACATCGTTTCTTCGCATCTTCACCCTCATCACCAGAAGACTCCGCCAGTTCAGTCGGGGATCCGACGCGCTCCGTCTTGTCTTCCATCTGCAAGTCATCCATGACGTCGACGATGAACTGCAGCTCCACGAGGACAATCTCCCAAAGAAAAGGCTGAGCCGATCCAAATCACCTGACTACCACAATTCTTCCCGACGTCAGAGTCACCGCGTTGTAAAGACCAGGAGGAAGATGACCGCAAGCTCGCCCCAACTGAAGACACGGAAGCACCCAGAGCAAAGAGACGAGGCAAGGCAAAAGACGTCCCAATTGATGTCGAGGTAGTGCAGAAGGTCCCAGTCCGCGTCGAAGTACACGATGAGCTCGCAGAAGACACGAAGAGGTAGCGGGAGGCGAACAACTGGCCGCCAGATCACAATCTCCTCCCGGCCCAGAGTAGCGAACGGTTAGAACAGAACGAAGATCTGGCCGCCAGTGATAGCGATCAGCACGGGCAGCCACCTATGCGGAGCGAGGCGCCTGGGAGGGAAAAGGAAAGGAATCCAGAAAGAGTTCGGGCCCAACAGCTTGAGCCGTAGCCATTTAGGGTTTAGGGTTTAGGGTTTAGGGCCTACGTAACTTCAAAAACTCCTTATACACAAACGCAGGCCCCATGATCGACCCTTCTGTTGGGATATGGGCGGGTTTTCTAATACAAGGGTCCCTTTCTAGGATTCCTTATTGGGGGGGCCATATGGTCTAACCTTAGTTTGGGGTCCGTATCATCTGGATCCTACTACTTAGGGTGCTATAAGGAGGTACTTTATTAGGGTCCCCTATTGTCCGAAACTCCACTAGTGGGGCTTCAGGGCCTCAAGGGGTTTAAGGGCGTCTCAGAACTCGCAAGGCGAGGTCTCAAGGAGGTTTTGGAGCTTTTCTTGAGGCTTTTGTGACTTGAGGCTTAGGGGTTTAGGGATTAGGGGTTTAGGGTTTTGGGGTTTTGGGTTTTGGTAATTTTCTGGGGTTTTTGTTCTAGGGTTTGGGACTCTTGGGGGTTTGATACCCTGACCACCATAGTGCAGGCAGAGCGCACACACACGCATACATGCATACAGACGAATCGTGCTCGTGCCAACCGTAGTACCAACAACCAGAGCAAGAAGGATATTAGCTCAAAGTCACATCAGCGGGGAGCATACGAACAATCAGAATCACACGCACCACAAAGTAATTGTTTTCTAACCAACACGGCGGCTTCTAATGCTGCAGCAACCGCAACGGCGACAGCAACAGCAAGACGCCAACTACACCCCTAACCAGGACGACGACAGACACAGCAACGACATCAGCAGCTACCAAAAGAATTTGCTGAAGAAATCGGCTCCCTATGCTCCTGAAGACCATCTACCACAAGCGGAGCAGCAACGGGCACCTCGGCATCCGCCAGCGGATTTTCACAGCTTCGCTTGTGCGGCAGGTGCAAGTCTCTTGGGTTCTCCGGTTCGGAAACGAGAGAGCTTCTCCCGCATTTTGCAGGAGGCATATAGGAATTCCCTGTGACAGCACCCCGATGGCTTTGGGAGGCTTAGAGGACCTGGGTCTTGCTGTCCCAAGTTAGCTGGAAGAAGAACATCAGAAGCACAAGGAGGACTCCGAGACCAGCATAGAGTGGCCACATTGGCTCATCATCCTTACCGTCTCCTGTCGCAGGCGTGGGACTAGGAGCCGGGCTCGCAGCTGCAGGCGTGGAAGCACTCGAGGTTGCAGGTGCGGCACTTGCCGCGGGCCGCCGGCGCAGCTCTTCTTTCTCATCTTTCTGTGGGATAATGTCATCCTCTTCCTCGTTGAAGCGTGCCTTTCCTCGTTCCACCTTGTCCGGCTCGCGACAGATCTCAATCCAGCAGAAAGCATCTTCACCCACGATTGCGGGCACGTTGCCGTTGAGTTGCTGTTCGGGGATCTCGCCACACCAGGCCAATCTGCTTCGATGGTTTTTTGGAACCGCCTCTAAGGCAAACTCGGGCATCAGCCGGGTCTTGGCTATTTGCCAGGCGTATCTAAACCTGAGCCACTTCAGGAAAAGCAAACGAGTCTTCGATGGAGAACAAAACAAACAGGCAGAAATGCCAGAAAAGTAACATGGGCCTTGATAATTAAAGTAGGGTTTGAGGGCCCATGATACTATAATTATTGCAATAAGGAGCCCCCAAAATAGTGTTGGCAATTATTAAATTTACGCCCCTACCGTATGAACACCAAGACCCTTATAAACCTTAAAACCTAAACCCAAAACCCTGAACACCAAGACCAGGAAGCAGGTACTCCATGGCCAAGCCCTTCTCCGTCCTCTCCCAGCGGCCCTCGAAGATAACCCAATAAGGGGATGCGCCAGACCCTGGGAGAGTCTGCTTCATGTAGAAGTGGCCACAATCCTCGGACTCATTCACAGGCTTTCTTACTGGGACGTTGAGCGCTCTTCGGAAAGCTCTAAGGCGCAGTCGGTTTAGGGTTTATAGGGCTTTACTAAGGTTGCAAGAGTTGAGGGTATATATATATATATATATAGGGCTTTACTGCTTTTTCCAAGAGTTCAGCCCAGCATCGTAGAGTTTGATGGTAAACTCCACCGACCGAGTGCTGACTTCACACTCGCCGAAGAACTTGGCACACAAATTTCCCTTGACCAAGGCTTTAGTCCTTAGTTGCTGGGTTTTTTACGCCCCCAAAAGTATACCCTTTCAGTTTTATAGTGGGTAACGTTATTCATAAGCCCCAAGAAGTCTACACTTTCAGTTTTATAGTGGGTAATATTAGTTGCTGAGTTCATAAGGCCCCAAAAAGTATACACTTTGAGTTTTATAGTGGGTAATATTATCCCAAAAAGTGCAAAAAGTGTGTCCACTTAGCTACTAAGGGTCTTCTTGGGTTGGAAGGTTGGTGAAACAGCTCTCTCGGGCAAGCGGAATTTGATGACTTTCTCCTCAAAGCGCGTCTTGGTCTTGATCGCGACGAACTTCGGTATGTCGGAGTCCTCGTTAATCTGCACCTTCTCGATGTGATCCGTGCCGATAACACCATATCCTGTCTCCTGCAGCTCCTCAAAGGTCATGGGGCACTCAAAGGCCTTGCTTGCGACTTCGGCAATCTCCTCCACATGGGTCGGGACCCAGCTGACCTTCTTAATATCGATTTCGAAGTCCATGGCTACACCTGGAAGTGGATGCCGCCTACTTTCCAACTCTGGTCCTGCGTGCTGAGTGCGCACGCATACCTTCCTAATGCATGCATCTGCGAGATTTTGTGATCGTGGCTATGCAGGACAGTACATTGTTAAGCATCGTCTGCAACATCGCTCTTCAAACTTGTACCCCGTGAGTTCCTTCAAGGGCCTTCAGAACGAACGCAGCCTCTGGTGGGCCTTTGAACCAGAGCAAACATTCGATGATATGCTGCAGTGCTGGGAACAGGTGAGTCGAATAGACAATCATGGCCGCCTGTAATCCCTAAACAAACGAAATCAATCTGATTCTTGATCATCCTAAACACTGACTTCGGAACCAGGATTCATCATCAACGAATGCTCTCGGGTCGAAACTGAGTGCCTATGCTACCGTTAGGGATGCCTTGATAGCACCCCAGACATTCAATGAGAACATCCAGTTTTAGGGTTTTCGATTTTCTGCCGGGTGCACTTCTTACACTCATGTCCAGGCCATGTCTGGCTTGGAGCAGGACTTCTCTGCGAAATACCAAACTCCTGCGCCACAACTGTGCCCTTCCGATGTAAATGCCGGATGCTGCACGACAAGAGCCTCTGCCCTAACAAAGAGAAGTGTTGCCTTTACAGGAACCTATAAATGCATGCATACATGCCCGCTTAGATATTGCGTCTCTAAATTAAGGTCTCCCCTGGCCACGCTTATGATGAAGGCCCCTGCAGGGGCTTGATTGATGAGAGCAAGCCAACCCTCCTCCCTCAGACAGTGCCCGATGAAACCCTGTCAAAACGGGAGTTTCCGAAAATTAGAGGTACCTTAATTATGTTGGGGTCCTTATAAGAAGGATCCTACTATTAGCGGTGCTATATAAGGGTCCCCTATTTTCGGAAACTCCCAAATAGCATAAGCCCCTCCAAAAGCTTTACAAGCGCTGGGGAACCCCATCTACAGCCCTACGAAGTCCCATTTAGACCGTGCAAAGCCCTACAGAGGCCAATAAAGCCCCACAACCCCCCATAGAAACCTAGCAGTGCCGTGCAAGCACCTCTGAAAAGCTTATTTTGCATCCGGGCATAGGAAGTCGACCAAGGTCCATGAAGCGCATTTTCAAGCCCTCGAAACCCTACAGAATCCTGAGAGGGAGGACCTCGAGGTGACGCCGGGCAACGCCAAGTTCCGAGGACTGCGGGGGGACCTTGGAACGAAGGGCTCCGCAGGCTTTGTTTTTTATTTTTAATGTTTGCTTGCTTTGGTTTTGGGTTTCGGCTAGTTTTGGGTTTAGGGCTCATAGGGTAGAGGGTTTACGGGTTTAGGGTTTATAGGGTCTGGGGTTCGTGTCTGCAATAAAAGCCTGCCTCTTTCCCTCGAAGAGGAGTTCTAGCCTCCGGGAATCGCTTCTTAGGCTGGAAGGCTCGAGGTTTCAGGCTTAGGGAAGCTATAGGGCTAAAGGCTTCAACAATGTTCTGCCGGGTGATTTATCGACCAATAAGGGTTCTCTGCATGAAAGTTTCGAGTTTGTGGGTTTAAGGTCAGGGTTTGAAGCCTGCGGGTCTGGTTTGGGCTTTAGTTACTTGAGCGTAGCCAGAAAATTCGGTTTGAGGGGCTTCGACTCATGCAGTCGCACATGCCACCCCAGGCTTTGCGACGACTGCTTTGGGCACATTTCTTACCTTTGGTTAGTAGGGAATGGAGGAATGGGGTACGATTATAACTACTATATTACTACCATTCTTCCATTCCCTACTAACCAAAGGTAAGATTTAGGCGTTATCGGGCTTCCACAGCCCACGATAATCACTTGGCTCGAGGTCTGGCACCGGAAACGGTCGTCCCCAAAGTGTGCGAACTACCCTGGAGCTCGCAAGCCTGCACATCTGGGCGCTAAAAGGCAGAACTGCGGAAGTTGACACTCCGAAACTCAAGAACCTGACGCGGTGCTGTGAAAAAACTAAGTACCATGCGCCGGAATGCCCACTGTTCGATATCCACGATCCCTCGGCGGCGGGTCCAACTTGAAGGTAGGCGTCTTAAGGGTTGGTGCCTATCAGCGAACAAATATGTGGGGCACAATTATGTAAGTTGGTTGTATTTCATGCCAAATTTCCAACTTTTGGAACAGGGCCTTGTCAACTGGCTTGGCAACATCCGGCTGATCTTTCTCTTGATATCAGGAACAGTTTGTACACCCCAACATGGCGGAGCCAAACCACAGAACCCGACTTTGGGATCCGTTCCCGCCTGTGATACTTCCACAAGAAACACAGCAGAACACAGTACGAGTATAAGAACATATAAGAACTCCGTTATGTTCAACGCAAGGCTCATCAGAACCCTTTTCAGCGCTTTTCTGACAACCTACCCATTTTCACAGCAGCCGGCTTCAACCATGATGGGATTCAAATTTTGCGCTGCAGGTTTGGGCTTTAGAATCTTCGGGCCCAGGTGTTTAGGTTAAGGGTTAACAGGGTTTGGGGTGGATCTCCCCAGCTTCTGGTGCTTCGCTTCGATCCGGTCGTCGAGTCTGGAAAACAGAAGTACTCCTAGGAGTGTAGGGCTTAGGGGTTTCGGGGCTCACACTCGGACAATCCAGGCGAGGCATATGGTTCGGTGTCTGATGAGTGAGACAGGGCTTTAGGGTTTAGGGCCGGCGTCGACCAATTTTGTTGCGAGCACTTGGGCGAGGTATTGCTCCTAAAGTGCTACGCAAATTAACGACTTCCGGTTCCTAAGCGCAGTCATAGCAGGTTTCACAAGTTTTGTAGACAGACGACGTGCTTGTTGCTGCTCTCACGAGCTTGTGCTCCTAACGAGACATCGTCGTGTCTGGCTCTTCGCTGAAACCCTAAAGCACTTTTTTTTGCATCCGGTCTGCAGAGCCTCTACCCTAAACACTAAAACCCTAAACCCTAAAACCCTCCAGCTTCCGATTCCTCTGCCGTGCTGTTTTGCAGTGTGTGTGTGTGTGTATATGTGTGTTTATGTGGTTTCGGAGGGATCTGGCCGGATGGAAGCTGACAATAAGTGTAAGGATAATAAAAACACATTAAGAAGTGGAATAGGTTGCTCGGGCAATACAGTACAAGTACATATGTATATAATCTATATATATACATATATATATATATGTGTGTATATATATATATATATATGTGTGTATATATATATATATATATACATATGTATATATAGGGACTAGCAGGCAAACATCGTTGCTAGTTGTTCAGACCTCTGTCTTAGTGACTTCCGTGGCCCCATCTCCGGCGAGCAGACGTCGGGCGCTAGGGTTTTAGGGAATTGCGGGTTGGGGCTCTTCCAAGCAAGCGGCCACTCGTCGCGGATTCTTGGCGAGACGCTTGCTTTCTGATTCAGGATATCACTCCTGGGAGGCATCTCACTAGTTTTGGGGTTGGGTGCTTCGTGTACTCATAGGCTCCATAGTAGTTCCTTTTAAGCATTACTTTATAGGATGCTAAATCTGCACCCCAAAGAGGAACTACTACGGAGCCTATGAGTAGGCTTTGGGGAGCTCATGGAGGAGTCGAACCTCAACAAAGTCCTGCACACCGCACTCCCAGAACCCGTCGAGCTGAGCACAAACCCAAAAAGAAGGGCCTTGAAACAGCCAAACCCCTCACAATCCTGAAAGAGACCCTTAACGGCCCGAAAGCTTAAACCCCAAGCTTTGAACCCTAAAACCCAAACCTCAGGGTCAAAATCTCAAACCCTAAGTCCGAAAGCCTACAGTAGAAGCCAGAAAGTTGGAACATCATTATCCCCATGCCCTTAAGGTACAGTATAAGGGATCCTAGCACTTATCCTCCTAAAGCCATGTTCCAACTTTCTGGCTTCTACTATAAACCTTACATCCCAAACACTCGCTCGGTCCTCGGGGTGCGAAGTTCAGCCTGGGGCGAGGAAGATCGCTGCCTCCAGCACCGTCTTCTTTTTTCGGACTCGCTTGGGCCAAGGTTCCGGGTTTTGGGGGTCCCGTGTGAGGGTTCTTGTATGGATCCTAGTATGTTGGGGCCTCTCTAAGGCTGTATAAGGTTTGTAGTCCTCACAGCCCTGCTTGCGGCAAACTCCCGGCGAATGTGGATACGCGGTCCAAGCAGTCAGTGACGGCTAAGCCTGTCGTATGCCCTAAGCACGATATTCCAGGCGGCAACAAGACCCCAAAACCCAAAGCCTTTACACCCTTTTCCACAGGCTTGATTAGTGCTCGCCCGGCCAGAATCCCCCAGCACATCGCACTCGTGGCGAGATGCTGAGGCTAAGTACGCACAATACGCATTATCTTACGAGCTACACAGCCTTTGCACCCTGAACCCTAAACTCTCGAGCACTGAGACACCCTAAACAACCCTATAAAGCCCTAAACTCTCCAGCCCTGAGTAGAAGCCGCAGGTGTCAGACCGGAAATTCAGGGACCCAGACTGCCCCTATAAACCTCATAGACATCTATAGACCCTGCCCTTATGCCTACTTGACGGGTATCGTGAACTAAAGGTTAACCTTTTGGTTATATAGGGGTTATATATAGGGACTATACTACCCAAAAAAGGGTTGAAGGTTACCTACTCTACTACTATGTATTTGAGCGTTCTGGATGTAGAGGGTTTTGGGGGCCCAAAAAAGGAGTTGGGTGGAACCCTACTTCACAACACGCCCCTGCTCAACTTGTGAAAACCTTGATCATCAGGTCTCTTGATTTGGGTACTCTTGGTCGGTATACCCCTAGTTTTAACAAACCGCATATAACAGCCGCTGCAAGTGCAACAACCTTATTGATGATTTGGGCTACCCCCACGGATACCCCCGCATGATGCCCTAATGTAGGGGCCTTAATAATTAGAGTAGTGTTTGGGGGTATTTTATACCATACCCATAGGCCCCATAGTAGTTCCTTTGGGGATTTATTACCTTATAGAATTCTAAATGTTAAACCCAAAATGGAACTATGGGTAATAATGTTCAGGAACCCCCCCAAAATAATTTAGGCCCCGAGAGTGCTAAACCCACGCCTCGATCGCGCGCTGCGTGGGGAGGCCGGTCGGCGGGTCTCACGCAGCCATCTGCGCAGGATATAATATAATATAGTATAATATAAGATATACAATATAAAATATATTTACAAGATAACTAATTACTCTACATACGTATATATATATATATATATGTGTATCTGTATATATATATATATATATCACTTTCCGAAGTGGGGGCTTGCGGTTTAGAACTAGGGCTGTTGATTCGGGTTTAGTGTCATCAAGTCCATATCTACAATTAGGGTTCATACTTGGCACAATTCATGCTTGCGGTGTAGGGTTCGTTCCTCAAGGGTTCGGTGCAGCTTTGAATCTCGTCAACTTCTTCAGAGACTGCAGTGGCCCGTTGGCAGCCAAGATTGTGTTGCAGACCTGAAGACTTCCAGACTTGCTCGGTGGACGAAGAGAGAGCCTCTGCTGCTCGCGCAGAACCTCGTCGTGTGCCGGTCCTTCCAAATCCTCAGACGAAGATCGCTGGCTACGGCCGCACCCCAATTCAACTGCACTTCCCAGGCGAAGGGAGCCAGAGGAAGGACTGGCGACGGATTCGCCATAGAAACAGAACTTTCGCCTCAACCACGATTCGGAGGGCTTGAGGACATCTCAGTGCCGGACAGGGTTCAGTAGCGGATCCCTGGCGACCTGCTTGCAGCAGACTTTTGTGCAGGAACGTGTCAAAAACGGTCCCTGTGTATATGGTTCAACACCAAGAACCAAAGCCAGCACAATAACAAGACCAACAAGCACAACCACGACAACAGCCCAGCAGCAGAAAACAACAGCAACAGCAACAGCAACCTTTTAACATGGGATTGGATTGTGTGCCAGCGAGCACTCCTCAACAGCAGAACATTCTCGCCTTTCACGAGGGGCATGTAACAAAAGGAGTGATATATATATATATATATACATATATATATATACATAGATATATAGAAACACAAGAACGGACCAAGCATTGACAGTTACATATCTCAAACTCAAGCCCCAAAACCCTGAGTACCGCAAACGCCTAAACCCCTAAACTATCCTGAATCCTAACCGGAATACCATCAATCCTGACTCCTCAAACTCCCCTGGCAGCATGACGAAATGGTACGGCGATCCATAAATCGGCGGAGCGCTCATGCTTCGAAGGGGGTTTCAGGAGATATTGTGGCATAACGAGAAGATGTTTTTTGGTATATCATGGAATGATGATATCAAGAAACCCTTCGGAATAGCTTTGGCAGTTACTCAGTACGTTGGCACGGTCGCCTGCCCTACCTGCTACCACCGCTGGCCAGAACCACTGCCACTAACACTGCGACGACAACTACTACTTGTGCAACTGTGCCTGCAATTGCTAGTGCAACCTGCGTCAACGACTGCTGCTAGGATTCGAGGTCTATTGTTGCTCTGACTACAGCGGGCACATGTGGGTAGCGAGCACAATCCATGTAGGGAGAAAGTGAAGGGAATTGTCCGACCAACTGCTTCAACCCCGATATTCATATGGGGGCCTTAATATTAGTAATGTACGACATTCATAAGAATAAGGAACGCCAAAAAAGCAATGGTAACTATTTAGGCCCTTATAGTAGGTACCAGTGGCTGCCGCGCTTCGCGGCTTGAGACCGAGCCTCTTCGGGAATGCCGTACCGTCGCCAGACCTCCGAAGCTGAGCTTACTTACCCAGACCCTGAATTAAGGAATCTACCTTGAATCAAAGTAAGGATCCTACTATAATTTAAGGTATATTCCTTAATTAAGGGATATTGGAATCTCCGGGTACCTTTGGTTAGTAGGGAATGGAGGAATGGGGTACGATTGGACCTACTATTACTACCCTTCTTCCATTCCCTACTAAGCAAAGGTAAGTTTAGAGGCTTTGGGTTTAAATATTTTGGGACTCTGTGGCCTTAAAGGGAACTCCAGAAAGTTGGAATATGGATTAAGGGTAGGATCCCCTATAATTTACCTTAAAGGGGTTACGATAATGATATTCCAACTTTCTGGCTTCTACTGTAGGGTTCAACAGGTTTCGGAGAAAAAAGTTCGGACAATCCAGGCTCAACAGGCTTAGGGGTCTCCTACCTAGCAAGGACGAAGCCCGCATTGCAGGGAGTCTCGTTTAGGGATTGGGGCTTAGAGGGTTTACGGTTCAGAGCTGTGTACTTGGCACCGGACCTACTGAAAAATATTGAGAAGAGGAGAAGCCCTCACATCCTGATCCCTGCTACCTAAAGTAAAAACCCTCAACCCTAAACGCCTAAACCCCTAACCCCACGCCCCCAAGGCAGGAGAACTCTGAGCTGCAAACGTCCGCAAAGGCACCTCGGGACATGTTTGAGACATGCCGAAGTGAAGCAGCCATGTTTGTCAAGCTCCCAATCAACATTGCCTACCAGATGTAACACCAAGCTTGTTGGCTCTCTGCCCCAACTCAGACATGCACTGACCATATCGACACCATACACCAGCCCGCAGTGTCGAGTGTCGAACTCCTGTGCATAGATGTCAGAAAGGACGGGTTGTTTTCTGAAACAATGAAGCAAGTCCTAAGCGACAAAGCTGCGACTCACACTCACGGCGTCAATATGAATTGAAAAAAAACCGGTGACTTCCGGCACCTCGCAACTACCCTCTATCCTTCCCTAGATACCCTCTACAGTAAACCCCATAAAGTTGGAAACCGGATTAATGCCAAATAGTGCTGGGATTCCCTCTACATTACTCCTTTTTTGCTCGCCTCTGGCTAGGACGAACCAACTCTTAAGGAATGAGGCTGTTGGGCTTCCAACTTTTGGGCTTCTGCTGTATTCACGACCATAAGGGCTCCCTGAAACCGTACTTCGGGGCTGCCGGTGGTCGCTCCTTGAAGAGGCTTCTGAGCTTGAAGCCGGTGATGGCCTGAAAAAGGCAGCGAAAGCAGAAGTTGTGGCCCTGTGCTGCAGGGGGCAGCGAACAGCAGCAGCGAACAGCAGTTCGCGGGGCAGGAGTGCCAGTGGCGAAGGTGATGGGAATGGCATGGATGTACTGGAAACGTTGGCCGCACAGACTGTGCACAAGCTGGGCGCCAAGTCAATTTTACTCTAATTGCCGGTGTTGACTTTCAATCAACGCATGAGATGTTGGACAGCGCTCTGAAGTTTACCAGTGCAGGAAACTGTCGAGTATGCATGACGAAATCAGAGCCAGCCTCAGAAACTCGAAAAATGTGTGAACCCGCATCATTGCAGGAAACCCCAAACTTGAGAATCCCAGACTACCCACCGCCTTTTCCGAAGATCTTCTACATGACCGTGCACCGACTCTTGCACGCCGTTCATGTCACAAACACAACTTCACATACCAGCTATCGCCGATTCACAGGCCCAGTTTCGGCCCGAGGCTCGGTGGCGATCGTGCAGCCAAGTTACAACCTTTAAAGAAACGAGCAAGCAACAAGCTCCCAGAGAGCCCAATACCCCTTAATTAAGGAATATACCTTATATTATATTATGCAAGGCGCATAATATGATTTACGGTATATTCCTTAATTAAGGGGTATTGGGCTCTCTGGGCTTATCAACCATCAGCCGCAATCTCCGCACTTACGAATTCACAGGACTTCTCACAGGCTCTCCTTCGCCCAATGCCGAAATGCCTGGATGTACCCGAAGATGTGGATCAAGGACAAACTGCAAACTAGTGTGTCTCTCTCAACACTTGTGTATCTCAGGAGTCAGGAGTATCCTTTCGATTTGAGAGCCACGTCTCGGTTCGAAATGTATCCATAAGCTCCTGGTTTTAAGGACTGCTCCCTGGGAGTTACGGATGCTCTTCTTCAAGAAACGTTCAAACACTTCCAAGCGGTTCTCTTGCCAAGAAGAATTCCATGAACTCAGCCGCCATCGACTCTTCCGATGGGAAAACCCTTTTTTGCAGCAGGCCTCGTAAACCCTTTTTTCACAGGCTTGATTAAACCCTGAACCCTAAACCCCAAAAGACCAAAAGCCGTAAACTACCTGCCTCGTAATCCAGCCCCAGTCGCAAGCGCAAGGCGCTATCGAACTCATACCTGCAAAGGCGATATGTCACTTATTCAAGAAAGTTTCTGGTCAAGGGACGTCTGGGGATGAAGGCTTTGCATGTGTGCAGTTACTCAATACTCAAATTCGGGTGCTGTTCTTTCTGTCCATGAGCACACTCTGGGATACTCTTGGGGTGGGCACGTGCTCACTGCGCCACTGTTGTTGGCATCGATGGCCTAGGTGAGCAGTTGCAGAAGCGGGAGGATGAATGCATGTGCTTTTTCTGTCTGGTGCTTGGTAGGGAATGGGGAATGGACCCCTATAGTAAGCCATATATAATCCCCAATAAAAGCCTCCATAATCCATTCCCCCACCCTTTGGTCAGAACCAGACAGTTTTGTGCGCAGTGCCGCTTGGGCCCAGACCAAGAATGCCAACCGCGGGCCTCCACAGAGCCTGCACGTCGCGAAGGCTCGCTCTCCCTTCTTTGCTGAGTTCCCGAGAGGCCAGAAAGTGTAACCCTAAACCCTAAACCCTTACACCCTTAAACCCTAAACCCCTAAACCCTTAAACCCTAAACCCTAAACACTTTCAGGTCTATACTTCGGAATATAGTTTTTAGATAGCTTGAGACATCCTGAGCCAGTCTTCTGTTTTCCGTGAAACAGGAGCGCTGCCTGGCAAGCACCACGACCTCAGAAGGCCAGGGGGAACCATGATTTTCCAAGAGCTCATCTTCTGCAAACCTCGGGGGGTTCAGGGATCTTCGCTCTTCGGGCGAGGCAAATGGTTCGAAGTCTGACAAAGTGAAACGAACTAGCGGATCAGTCATACGGTTTAGGGTTTAGGGTTTAGAGCGTTTCAAAGTTTAGGGATCTGGAAAAGCAAGCCGGGGGCGGAGCCAGTGCGGCTGCCCCGGCCAGGCCACTCTCCCTGCAGCAAAGGAGTGTGGGTCCGTGGGTTGCAGGATGTTTAAGGCTAAGGCGGCTAGGGCTCCAGAACCAAAACATATCAAAACTATACATTATTATTAGAGCTATACACATATTTGTACACATATATATATATATATATATAGAGTGTGTGTGTGTGTGTGCATGCTCACATACACACATACATACATAAATGCCTGCACACATGCATCCAGGCAGGCAGGCAGACCGGCAGAGGGGCAGACAGGCAAACAAACGCACCTAGGTACATACCTACACACAGCCTACATAGCTACATGCATACAGGCAGACAGAGAGCCGGGCTCCTAGAGGCTACGAAGCAGAGACCTTCCACGAGACGCAGGAGATGGGAGTTTCCGAAAATAGGGCACCCGAATATAATACCCTAAATAGTAGGATCCTCATCATAAGGACCCCCCAAAAAAGGTACCCCTAATTTTCGGAAACTCCCAGTCCCACGATGAGCCAAAGCAAGGGCGTCCCACTCTGCCAAATTTTCTTGGCTCACATCCTCACGATTGAATTTTGGCGTTGCAGAAAGTTCCCGAAAAAAGCCTGCCTTGCCCAAACAGGCCTTAGGAAATCTTCCCGTTTGGGCCCTCCTCCACCGAACCCCCCCCCCCCCCAAAGCCCCGTAAACGTTTCCTTTACTCTCAGCCTGCAGCCCCAATCTCAGCACTTTCCCCCGAGCCCCTGAAGAGGCCAGACCTTAGGGCTTCAAGTGCAGAAGCAGCACGCGATGTAGTACCTGCGCCAGGGATACGAAGGAATGGAGGCGAGGCACCAATGGAGGAGGATGGATGTAGCAGGAAGGACTACAAGGGGATTTTGGGATGATTTGGGGCATGCAGAAGGAGCAAAATGTTTATGATAAAGCCGTATTGCCTGTCTTTGCCGGGAAAGCCGGGCGGTTTGCCCGGCGCCAAGACGACTTCCGAACGATTTCACAGACAGCAGACTCGGGACTGGATTGAGGCACTGTCGTCAGACGATGTTGTTCGTGCTAAACAGAAACCCGACCCGCACCTAAGCGACAGGCCACCTTCACGCAAACAGTGGACCGGACAGCACCGGCAACAGGTGAGCATCATCATCATCATCATCACCAACGTGTGCCTGCCGCGGACGGGCATCATGAGCATCAGCCGGGTAGGCACATACACAACAGTCCAGAATCATGAACGCAGTCTTTAAAGGACCTGGTACTCTAGAAACACCACCCCTTGTGTCAGTACGGCTCTGAGTGATTCAGCTTAACACGGGCATACCAAAACTCCAGGCGCACCGGAAGCTTCAACTAGTGTCAAAAATACTGAAGGTTTTGAGAACAAAATCCTAAGCTTCAGCGTTGGGGCAGCTTATCTTAAAATCTCGCTATGCAACGGCCCTAGTAACATGAGCCATCCTATTAAACATACTCGAACAAACATCGGATGTTGCAGTTTTAATCGAACTAAAGAAAGCCCCATCAACTTCAACCCTCGATGCACCGACCATGCGATCGATGTCGGCAGCCACTCTGTAGACTTAGGAAGCAAGGTACACTGATCCACAATGCCAGCATCCCTTGGCATAAGGAACCCCTATAATGTTAAAACGCGCAACTTCGACACCAAGCCGTCTGAGGCCCTCGCTTGCAGTAAGCTTCTTCTCCAACCTCACTGAGCCATGAAGTGCCAAGGGCTGTGCATCCTCTGTCTTGTTCGAATGCGCTCTTCACGAAATCACGGCCAAGCGTGGCTTATGGTGTCATTTCTCGCAGCTCGGAAATTCCAGGCGATGCAGCTGAGTCCCGCCTTCTCTGAACGCAGGGTGCTCGCTGAGTCTGAGTCACATCCGGCAATTGCAGAGAGCTCGGATAACAAGTGCCCTAAACTCTTCATTCTCACAGTAAGACACACTACATCAGAAAGCGCACCGAGCTAAACACTGCTTGTCCCAGGTCAGCTTCGGATATGGAGCAGCTGCCCCTATAGCAAAAGTAGTCACGGTCATGTCGTCAAAATCAATGACAACAATGCCGCAGTTGCAGTAACAGCATCTTGGCCCACTCAGAACTCGAGCATGACTCGACTGAGCTCAGCCTCTGAAAACATCTCCCAAAGGCCCAAGCTGGCATTGATGCCAGAATCGTGTGGACTATAAAAAGGTGGGCGGATCACACGATGGTAGCAACAACAGATTACATGACCTTACATCTGTGCTTGTTAAAAGACAGGCCACTAAGTTGTACCGTCGCCTGCTGGACCGTGAGATGGAGCTTACAGCTCCAAGACATGCATCGTGCTGGCACTCGCGGCATGCTCATCCCCAACCGGCTTCCCAACCATGGCCGCAGCGTGATTCCCATCCTTTTGGATTGAATCCAACATCTGTTCTGTGCGTCGTGCCTGACATCGGAGAGCCAACCATAATGTCCCAGCAAGTATCACTGCACCACAGATCCACAGACCTGAGCCAAGATCATCGGCTACAAGAGTCGATGTCCAAAAGCCGACAGTGAACAAGGTGCTCGGCACAAATGCCACCAGAATGTTTGTCAGCCTGTCCTGCCAGACGCAGCTCTGGACTTGGCGCAAGCACTTGACGGAAAGCCTTAGGAGTAGGAATCTACATTTTGCTCCTTTTATGTTTAAGTACCCACAACAATGTAAAATCGTTACCCAACTATGACAAAGAAGCAGTGTCACTTGAAAGATGAAGGGAAACAGAAAAAAACACCAAGTCAGAGCCCGGGAAAACATGATTGCGACCACCTTCCAGTTGTCGACACGCCCACGTGCCGCCATGCTATCTGCAAAGCCCCATAGGATGGGCGAGGCAACCATGACGTGCCAGCCAAAAGGAAATAGCATTCCACCCAGCTGGCGGTATAGCATGGTCCTGACGTGCGTCCTTACGGTCGCCTCGAACGCGTCAACAGACCCGTACCAGCTCCGAAGGCATCTGCTCATGATCGCACGATCGCAAACGCTGGCATTGCACGCCTCACCATCGTTGCAGCAATGACAGCGGGCACCTTGGACGGTAAAGTCGGAAAGCTGCTTGAGCATACTCTCCGTGTCCCGGTAATGCTCACGCAGATAGGATGCAGCGATGTAAAAGAAGAACCACCGCGTAACAAAAAGTACCAATGTGTCAGCAGGAGTTTGCTCGCCCACCAAAACGAAATGTATCGTTGAAGCCCAGATGGCAAAGCCAAAGCCCAAAATGCAGGGAGCCATGGCTGTCGGCCTGATAATAACTTTCTCACCTGGTGCTTCATGACTTCTCAGGAACGCGGCCAGCTCCAACATGCACCATAAGCGCGCAGCATAAGTCTTGTCCCAAACAACGAGAAGCTTCTCGGAGTACTTAAGAAAGGCGCCAATGCTCATGATTCCCTTGGCCTTGTGCTCTGCGTTCTTCTGGTCGATGCATACCTGGTCAAGGAAGACGAGGCTCCTGGGTTTCCCGAGCAGAAGAACGGCCAGGAAAATAAGCCCTGCCGTCACAGTACACCATGGAGCAAACTCCATTGTCACTCCTTGATCGAGTGGTATTCTGCCCACTCGCCGCATGCCCGGCAGGAACCCGGCAATCTGCAAACACATCATCAGCAAAGCCGAGATGGTGGCAGCGATTGCTGCTGCAGGCCCGTTGTACAGCAAAAGCAGCAAAAGGCTCTTCATGTACTTGTCGCCATGCCAGCTGTGGCTCCAAAAGACTTGAATGGAGCCAACAGGAAAGCTCCACTCGTAGAGATCGACGTCGGTCCACCTGAAGGCAGCCCCGAAAGATTGAAGCACTTTCCATGCAGGAGTTGCTCTAAGGGTGCTTCTGTCGGCAGGTTCCATGCTGGCCACTCTGCTGGCCAAGTGGGCAACCATGGGGTGTTCATCATCGCCGAGGAACTGCGGCTCAACTTCTCTCGCAACTGCCATGGCCTCTTTGACGAGAGTCTGACGACAAACATCAACCAAGAAAGGTCAAGGTCTTCTGCTTAGGCTTGGGGCTGCAATCTGGCAACCACCGCAACCTCCAAATTCGACGGGTGCTTGCTCAACTCTGGCGGGGTGCCTGCGATACTTACTAAACAAAACTACTATACAATTATATATTATACTATTATATACTATACGATAATATATTACACTATTATAAACTAATGACTATACTAGTATATAATTATGATGGCAACGAAAGTGACGCTGGTGTGCTGCGGCAGCAAATCCCTTCGAGTCACTGCGTAAAGCATGTTAAGCAAATGCTTTCGGGTGCTGGCCGGGGTTGCGCTTGCCTTGTGCTGGTTGGGCTTAAGGCCACACTTCAGGGTTCCCGTCGGCCAGCTGGCGACGGTCCGGATTGCATGTATCCCTCATTTCACGTGTAACTTGCCTTTGGTTAGTAGGGAATGGAAGAATGGTAGTAATAGTAGTTATAATTGTACCCCATTCCTCCATTCCCTACTAAACAAAGGCAAGGTAATGGCCAAGTTCAGCAGCAGAAAGCAGACCCGAGTCACTCAGAATTCAGCCCCAAATCTCCTGAACGAGGGAAAACCCAAAAGCCAAAGGGTCCAAGTATCATTATGGTATATACTTAGACCCCCATATTACCCTATACGTATTTACCATACTGATACTTGGACCATTTGGGAAAGAGCTAGGAAAGCTCCAGCAAAAAGATGTCCAAGCCGCCTACGATCGCGGTCGCAATGAAATGCAGAAACAGCACACGTAAACTTAAACAACCAGTACCCAGGTTTAGGAAGAAACTGGCAAGTGCCCTTCCCCCCCCTCCCCCAAAAAAGTGTTCTTTTCTAGCAATGAGGCGTGCATTCATGCCGTCTGGCATTTAGTCATGCCGAGTTGGCAAGCTTGATCCATGCCCCTTCCACTTTATGCCTTTATGCCCTCTGCCAGACCAATCCTTCATGACCCCAACACCGAACATCTCAGCCTCCTAGGTTCCATCGTCCGTGTCTGAGGAATCCACTCTGCTGCTCGTGACTCCGCGGCATGGAACAAGAGGAGCATGTCAGATGCCTGCACAGCGGCACAGCCCAGCATTTTCCGGCTGTGTCTCGTGACACGAAAGATTTAGACTGCAGACTGCCCCGGGCCTGGACAATTTTGCTAGAGGACCTCAGCAGAGGCGCAGAGGCCCCATAGTAGTTCCTTTTCGGGAATACCTTACAGGGTTCTATATATGAACCCCCCAAAAAAAGGGAACTACTTTGGGGCCTTTGGGTAAACATCCTTCACACCTGAAGCCCGGTGCCAGATCTGATCTCGTTCTCTGCATCTCTCTTTAGGGTTTACGATTTAGGGTTTAGGGTTTAGGATTTAGGGCTTAGGGCTCTCTTTTGGTCTTGTTTCCTGCGAGGCTTCCTTTCTCGTTTCCTGTCGCGACGTTGTGGAAACAAGTCGCACTGGTCTCTGCTGCCGTTGTCCCAATACTCGTTTCAGTAGGGTTTCGACTCGCACACTCGCACAATCGCAGGCACGGCTTGATGGTCCATTGCTACCTTTACTTCAACTATCTGCTCCGCCCTCTGTCACCAAGCCACCGAATACGAAACATAAGTATCTGGGTAGGTACGACATAAGACGGTAACAACAAACAATGAGGGTGGTCAGAGGAGCAGAGCGGCTTCAGGGCGCTACGCTGCCATTGGCCTCGGAGACCCAGCTTAAAGTAATGACCCAAGTTGAAATACAGAATCCAAAGCTGAAAATCTGAACTGGTGGTGATTCAGTAGGGTTTAAGGTTTAGGGCTTTGAGGGTTTGATGTTTATCAGTAGGCTTGTGGGGCTTTGGAGCCTGAAGGTCCTCTGCGACAAGAAAGCTGGCGCGACATTGACAAAGAGGACAACTACAACAACTACTGCTGCCTTCGCCGCCACCGCTCTCACAACTGCGGCTGGAATACTACTCCGAATAAAATCGACTAAATGCCGCCCCACCACCACCACCACGATGCTCCCTGCTGCTTCTGCGCTGGTGAGCGCGGCCGCAACCAGAGCCCTGAACCTGGGCACCCCGAAAACCCTATAACCCACATCCTTACAACGCAAATCACGAGGACCCTAGTATAGGGGCCTTAATGATTAGAACAGTGTGCTGGGGCCGATTATGCTAATTATCCTAATAATAAGGAATCCCCAAATAGTACAGGTAATTGTTGTAAGGCCCCTATAGTAAACCGTTATAATATACCTTATGGTGATTCGCAGCTGTGGACCCCTTAAAAGGAACCCTACTCTAATTGGTTAGGCCCCTATAGTAAACCTTAAACTCAAGGAGGCAACACTCTGGACCGGCCTCGTCCTGAAGCGAGTCCCGAGCGGCCTTCGCAAAAGGGAGATAATCTTGACATGGGAGTGTCCGACAATTAGGGGTACCTCATGACAAGGATCGTCCTACTATTCAGGGTACTGCATTCGGGTCCCCTATTTCCGGAAACTCCCACATGTACAACAAAGCCTCTGATGTTGAGCATGTTTATCGAGGGACGAATAGAAGCTGCTTTACTGAATGAGGAAAGCGGGCCACATCACCCTCAGCCCAACTCCTGCAAAACATCATATGCGCCGAGATCATACGACTGCCAGCTACAACCCGAAATCCAGAAGGCATTCGAGAACTTTTGGCGACCCTGACCCGCCTCGGCTACTTCCAAAGAAGCTTGCTGCCTCTCCAACTCCTGGCCACCGGTTTTGGCTTGAGGCTTAAGCCCTTTCCCTCCTATTTCGCAAGGATGAGGCCCTCACTGCAGGGTAACTCTAGGCTTAATAGGGCATGGGGTTTAGGGCTTGGAGGTTGGGGGTTCAAGGGTTTGAGGTTTGGGACTGAGGGCTCCGAGCCACGCGGTGAAGACAGTGGTTACCCTGCAAGGGGCTCGTACAGGGTTGAGGGTATCAATCGTAGGGCGTAGCGTAGAATCACAAAAGCAGGGGTACAAGCACAATGTCACTGAACAAACAACATCTGCATTGAGTCTTACAGTGACTAAACTGGAACAACACTTGGCAACGAACTTGGATGACCTGTCGAAAATGACACAAGCAGTGCACTGAGGCATGCTTCGGCATTCACGAAAGCACGGATCGCGAGCACCATTCCATGCCAATTGCGATTACTGACAAAACCCTCATCAGAACGAATCATGCGTGCAATGGCGAGCAAGATGCACCCTTGATGAGGCTTCGGGGCAAGGGTTCCCGACCTTGGGAGACAAAACGGCCAAGCGTCTCGAATCCGCAGATCTTTCAGTCTCAAGATGTCCCAAACATCCTGTAAGGGTGCTGCTTTGCTAGGGTACTGCTAAAGCAATTAGTTTCAGTTTCATGGATGTCCAATTTTTTTTTTTGTGGAGGTCGCCTAGGAGGTTGGGAGCCCTGACCTCTGAGGCCCCTGCACCTCGAACCTTGCAGTCTACGTGAGGCTTGTAGATCCTGAGCCCTGCAAGCCCCTCGTCACGCCCAAGTCACCTTGATAATCCTGCACGAATCACCCTCAGCCAACAAATCCTACAAGCAAACGAAGCCTCGACAACCTCGGCGAGCTTAGATTGGCCGTCTGCGCGAGTCGATGGTTCTTGATGGTGTCGGGTGTGGGATTTGGAGGGGCTCAGTGATCGCTTTAAAGCTTGTCATAACTTACCACGAGACAAGAAGCACATCTAGGAGGATACTAGCCCTATAAAACTAGCTAGTAACTACCGTAGCAGGCAACTGGCTTCTCGGAGTTGAGTGAGGAGGTCGTGAAGCATCTGTGCTGCCAAATGCAGCAAGGAACAGGTAAGTTCAGGTAAATGTATCTAATAATTAAGGTATGCGATTTCGGCGCATAGGGTGTATGGGTGGGTGTCTCCATTGTCCTATCATGTGTAGGATTCTGAAGGCCCCCTATTTGCTGAACCATGTGAAGTTCAAAAAAAAGTGTACAAAGCATTAGCAGCCAGTTCAAAGCCGGTTCTACAGTAACTGTCTCGCGCCCTTCAAGAATATGGCCGGATTTGCCCAGCCCTTATTTCGTAATGCTCCCTCTAATTTCAAGTAAATTCCTCGATTATGGGATTTTGGTGGATGTTAGGGGCTGTCTGCGCTCTACATACCAAACCCCAATGCGGAGCCCTTAAGCTGTCTGTGCTTCAAAAATTCCCCCCCCCCCCCCCTCCCGGCCATCCACGGGCACCACGAGGTGAAGAGCATCCTCCAGACAAGCTTCGCCTGGCAGTCCCCAAGACATCCAAGAGGGCCCACGGTCGCTTAAGCATTAAGTCGGGTTTCAAAGTTTAGGGCTTACGACTCTTACGAGTTAGGGGTTTGGGAGTTCAGGGCTTAAGGTTATCATGAAGAGTGGGTGCCTCATGCAGCCTTTATGCTTTGTCGTGCGCAGGTGGATGGACAAGCTGTCGCAACTCGGTGCAGGTTTTGCTGCCAGGGCCGACTCTTGTCGCCCTAAAATTCCAGGCTTAGGCTTTGCATCCAAGCTTGTCAACTTTCAGCTGCAATGCCATCTCAATCTGCTCAAGTCTAAAAATCCAAGCTACGTCATCCGAAATGCTGTAAAGTGTGACCGCCGAACCTGCAAGAACATGTGCAAGAACGATAAGCCACAGAACAAACGCCACACAATCTGAACCCCGCTATACTAACCCCAACAAAGCCCAACAAAAGGCACCAAGCCTCTTAACAAGCAGCTATTAACCCGAAGCAGCCCTTACCTGAAACCACCAACAGGAGGTAAAACAACGGCCTAAGACTTAGAAAGGCAATTATTGTTACTATTACTATTATTATATATACTGTTGGGGTCCAGGTGAGCCTTTTTCGCATAAGGACTTGTGCAGTAGCCTGAATCTTTGAGCAACACGATAAGAAGCCCTAAACCGTCCCTAAACCCTAAACCCAGGTAAGAATCCTAAACCCTAAACCCAGGTAAGCCCTAAATTCCTAAACTCGCGCCGGGCGTGCCCAGCCGAAGCCGCTCTTCCGCTAAGTCCAGCTCGGCCTCCTGCAGATCGGCCGGGAATGTGGTCCCTTGTAAGGGTTCCTATCAGCTATGTACTTTCATGGTATGTATATATACATAAACATATATATATATATATATATATACACATTAAATGATTAATTGATTATGTAAATACAGATACATATGCATTGATACATACATCTCTAGAAATACACACACAAAATGTGCATACACCTCTGTATACATATACATGATAGACATATGTATATACCCTAAACCCTAAACCGTTATATATATATATATATATACACACATATATATATATAGATAGATATATCAACGAGGCACCATAATGGGTTTTCGACTCACATACTCGCGCTGAGGCAGGCATGGCTTCTGGTCGGTCGAGCTTGCTACTTGCACGCCAGAGGACAAATTACATGGGTAGTTGTCAAAATTAGGGTCCCTTTTTGGATACCTAAATATTAAGTGCCGTATTATATTAGGGACCCAAAACGGGACCATAATTTTGACAACCACCGACATTTTTTTGAGGGTTCATGGGCGGTGCCAGGATGTAGGGTGGCGGGTGGGTGTGGGTGGTTTAAGGTTCAGGGCTGAATTCACTTTTTGCACGGTGTATCTGTTTCTGCCGTACATCCGTGTTTTGGCGAGGTGCTGTGCATTGCTCGAGGCTGGCGTGATCAGGGTTTCGTGTCCCCTCGTCTATCCGATTTCAGTGGGAGGGCAGAAAGCTCTGCGTCTCTGGCCTGATTCTATGCCAATGGCAGATGACGAACACATCTCCAGGATTCTCCAGGACTAATGTCTAGATGCACTTCGGCTCTAAAGCAATCAAGCCAGATGGAGAACTCGTGGAAGCACAGACGTTGAGAGACAGAGTGGCGTAAGGTAAAAATGCAAACTGTCGTATTATTGCATATATGCACCCCACCCAAAACAACATGCATGGCAGGTAGGCCGGCGAACGAGTCAAACAAAGACCTGCGCGGAAACATACACGCAAGTTCAACGATTTTTCCGAAGAAATGCCTTCGGCCGGCAACATCTTCTGCTCATGCGTCCCATGCCACACTCTGGAGTCCATCGTTTCAAAGGGTTAATATCCAATCGCATAGGCTCAGACAGCTAGACTAAGGGGACATTCACTGCCCTAAGCATACCGGGTTCCAAAGGCCTAAGGAAAGCCCGTCCTTCGATGGAACCCAGGCCCCAGGTGGCCGGGACCCCCCCTGCTGTACAGATTTGTACACGTAGGAGTTGTTCTGTATCTAACTAATGTAACAGGCCTTAATAAATTGAATAGGGTTTTTGGGGCCACATCATGCTAAAACTACGTACACTAAGAAACCCCCAAACCCTATTCTAATTCTTCAGGCCCCTACATTATATCAACTTCCTTGCCGGGGACCCTCAAAAGGCTTTCTATGAGGATCCAACTGGTTGTTCTAATGTAGGAGCCTTCACAACTAGACTAAGGGTTTGGGGCATTATTGTACGAGATAGTCAACAATCCTAAGCATAAATACCTATTCCTTACATATTCAGGCTTCTACACACATGAAATCCATGATTATTATCACATTCACATTAGCAATATTATTACTACTACGACGCGTTTATTAGTATTATTGTTTTCTATACAGGTATTTATATCATTCATAGTAAGATTTCAACTACAATTTGTGAAGATTACGATTAGAACTATTATCAGTCTTCGTATTGTTAGTGTTATTTACTTCAGAACAACCCACATGCGAAGGGAGAGCTGGAAACTGGCATGGCTGGGCTGGGCGCCACTTCTGAAAGAAAGGCAGCGGTCGCACGCTTGCCGTCACTAAGCACCATGACCCCGCCTTTTATTCAATCGCATGTGTGATGGCATCATGTGTTATGCATAAAACGTATAGTATACTGTATCTTGGTTCAGTGTATGCGGTGCATGCACGGGGTGTGGCTGTACATACATATACATGTCTAAACCGGCGTGGGCGCATGTATTGGGGTCCAGGGCGCTCGCATCTCGGTGCACATGGCAGTTTCCGAAAATGGTGGAACCTAATATGTAACCTTCAATAGTAGGATCCTTATTATAAAGACACCAACAGAAGGTACCCCTAATTTTCGGAAGCTTCCACACGCAAGTGCTTCACTCGATCATGGCTTCCAGTTCTTTCTCAGAGAGCGCTGTGGGCGGCACACCTGGCATACACACGGGAATGTCCGAAAATGGGGGTACCTTTCTTTAGGGTCCGTCTCATAAGGGTCCTACTTTCTAATGGACTTTATTAGGGTCCCGTATTTTCGGAAACTCCCATATGGGGTTGACGCGACGACCCCATGTCCGTACCTGTGTCTACTAACGGGACTATGCGCTCTGACACTGCTGAAGCTCGCGCTCAAGTCCGCAAGGCCTGTATCCTTTATGTCAGCACAGACCCTCCTAGAGGATCTGCTTTGTCATGATCGTCTCAATGGCGACTATACTTGAAACTGGCGTTCTGGCATCCCATGGGCCCGTAAGAATAACAACCTCAATCCGGCGGTGTGCCTTGCTGTGCGGTAGCAGTAGCGGAGAGACCCACAGCCGAGGCCGTAGCCACATCAGTTCCTGGCCAAAGCTGCTGTGCACCCCGGCTTCCGGGGCGGCGGCGTGACGCCGGCAAGCTATTTGCTCACTGCATGCTTTTGGAGGCTACCAGACACACGACTTGACAGTTTCACATATCGCGCCGTGCCTGAATCACCTGCCCGTGCTACCTGTGTAATATGGCTGTGCTCGAAAAGCTTTCGAATGCGCACCAAATGGGTTTATGGTTGAAGTTGTGTAGAGGGGTTGGGGAGTTGAAACCAACTTGATGCGCAACGTTCGTGAGCGTCGTTCGCCCGGATCTTGGAACCAGGCAAGTTCGTGACTCCACACGAAGGAAATGTTGTTAAGCTCGGGGATCCCAGTGTAATGTAGAGGCCTTGATAATTAGAATAGGGTTTTGAGGCAAATTCTACTATCACTATAACAAGGAACCCCAAAATAGTATTGGCAATAGTTTCGGCCCCTGTATTCTCATGCAGGTTTGCAAAAAGAACTTCCGGAACGAAGAATCCTGAATGTGACTTATGACAAACCATGAGGTGTCAGAGGAAGCAACTGCTGGTGACAGGACGACGCACACTGAGTCATGCAGACGCCTCGCAAGGACGCTGTCGTAAAGATGTATGGCATTCTGTATACGGTAAACTGTAGATGTACAGGAGATCATTTTTTGCTTTGGTCAGCAAAGCGTCAGGATCGGATGTACCCTTCGTGCCGCGAACGTTCGCATACAGACATAGACAATCAGAGACAGACATAACGGCAGAGGCTGAATCAGGTAAAATCTGACCTTCGAGGAATGCTTTGGCGTCCGCGGCAGTGACGGTGCTGGTGACCTGAATGATGTATTAGGTTCTCACAAGTTCGTGCCGGTCCACGACAGAGTATCTACGATGGGAAGAGGAGTTTCTAACTGCATGGCCAGCCTTTTTTCCTTTTTTGTGTAGCATCTGCCAGCAGCAATTCGTCCAAGGCAACAATATAACTATACTATAACTATAAAATAACTATATTATAACTATATTATAACTATAATATAACTACAATATAACTATAATTACATACAGTCACAAGAGCCTGTCTTTACACCGCCGACATGGTCCTCTTCACTCACCTCCTGCTCGCCTTGCTACACGCGGCAGGTCTGATGTTCCCGTTCCCCCCCCCCAAACCCTAAGTCCTTTTTGAACGAGGTCTCTCTGAAGTGCCTCCAAGTTCCTAAACCCTAACCCCCCCCCCGATTTCAGTTTGCTGAGGCCACAGCCTCTTAAAACCTCTCTCACCACTAGCGACTAGACTCTGACCACTAGTGTCTCGAGACGGGGAAGGGGTTTCCCAAAAGCTTATGTCTGTTACACTGTGCTAAACCAAATAGACTTTCAACCTTATAAAGACCATTAGCCTATTAACCCCCTCTCTCTCTCTCTCTCTCTCTCTCTCTCTCTCTCTCTCTCTTCTTCCGCAGGGCTTAAGGGGCTGTTCAGGTCTCTCTCTCTCTGTCTTTCTCTCTTTCTCTCTTTCTCTCTCTCTCTCTCTCTCTCTCTCTCTCTCTCTCTCTCTGGTACTCGGCCAGCCCATGATAAACCCTAAACCCTCGAACCCAAAGCCTATCAACCATCAACCCCAAACCCTAAGGCCTTAGGTTTTTCCTGGCCCCAAGCCCATAAACCCTAAACCCCACGCTAGCAACTCTGAGTCAAGGGCCACCTCTGTGTCGGTGATCAATCCAAGCCCTCCATCCTGCAAGAAGTTTCGAGGATGGGCGCCAAGCCTGGGTTCCGGAGTAGCCCCTTTATAATAAAGGGTACCATTTCTCCTACTATTCCCCTTGAGTAAGCGAACCCAAGAAGAAAAACGCGCAAAGGGGTACCACTTCGAAACCTAGAAGCATCCAATGCCTAAAGGTTGATGGTTTTATCGGACCAAAGTTTCAGGGCTTATAGGGCTTATATTCCCTGATTGTTAAGGAGGTTAACATGTTTAGCTTTCGCATGGCTAGATCATAATATCTTCGCTCTGAGATGCTTGTTTCAACGAGAAGCCCGTTAGGACTCCATGGTTCTTAGTAGAGAATGGGGGCATGGATCCCGATAGTAGTCCCTATGCCGTATATAATCCCCAACAAAAGTCCGCAATCCCCATTCCCTACTAAGCCCTATACCCTAAACCTTATTGATCCCCTGTAAATATCCCTTTAAGGTCTCCCATTCCCTACCAAGCACCAGACAGGAAAGGTGTTCCGGAAGCTCCCTCCTTCACGACTCGCTCCCACAGAAGGGCCAGCCGCTTCGTCATCCGCAGGCGCACCTTCCGGGCGAACCTCTGCTTCCGGCTTATAGGGTTTCGGGCATTGGGGCTGCTTTCGGGCTGTATGCGCCTTACGATTAAGGTCTCGTCCACGCCAACCCCTAAACTACTAGCATGT